CCTCAGCCTGGGGCCTGCCTCCGCAGGTACCCCAGGTGTTCATGCCTTTTATCTGGGCTCGGAATCCACTGGGGTGTTTTGTCAGTTAACCAAACAGCCAAGGGGCATCTGACAGCCTTGGCCTGCCGCCCTCAAGTGAAAGACAAGTACCCAATTCTTGCTTACAAGCTGAGGCTCATGTCGCGCCCCCCCTGGGTGAGGCAGTCCAGCTGAATCTTTTGGGGTGTGCTGCCTGTCCTCGTAGGGCCACCTTTCTGCTCCTTGGTGGCGAGTGGTCAGAGCTGGTGATGAGGTTTAACATCTGCCCAGAGCACTCCAGGGGTCCCTGACTTTCCCATCCCCCAGCTCTCCTGGAAGTCTCTGCCCTTTGCTTCTGCAGGAAAACACAGGCTCCCCCAAGAGCTCCCAGAGTCCCAGCAATCCTGCCCCCACTTTGTCCCCTTTCGTGTCTTCTTTTGCTTCATTCAAATGTCACCTCTTAGCTGGGCTCGGTGGCTCAGCCTGTCATCCCGCGCCTTTGGGAGCCCGTGGGTTCGAGACCCGCCTGGGCAGCGAGACCTCATCTCTACAATAAATCAAAAACTCAGCCGGGCATGGTAGCGCACGCCTGTAATTCCGGCTACTCGGAAGGCTGAGGCGGAAGGATCGCCGGAGCCCAGCCGGTCGAGGCTGCGGTGGCTGGGAGCGGCCACTGCACTCCAGTCTGGGCGACAGAGTGAGGCTCCAACTCCAAAAAAACAAAAACAAAAAAACCAAATATCGCCTCTTATCTAACCGTGTCCCTCTATGTAACACTTCTCTGCCCCAATGACCACACTGCTACCTCTTGATACTTTGAAGATTATCTCTTTATTCATTTGCTTACTTGATGGTTGATTTTCCCCACTAGATTGGGAACCAGTCAGAGGAGATGCCTTTCCAGTAGTTTCCAGAGCCCCGCACGGTGCCTGCCTCTCAGCAAACTTCTGTTGAATGGATGCAGGAACGCATGGATGAAGAGTAGTACTCCGAATGCTGGATTAGAAATGCTTTCATCTTCCCCCTTCGACAGCAAGGTGTCTGCTTCGAGGGCCCCATCCATTGCTGTGCTGTATTGACATCACCTAGACGGGCTTGAAATCTGCCATGAATGCAGTTGAAAGGAGTGAAACCAAATCAGAGGAGACAGGTCAGACCTCCGCAGGCAGAAGGGACACAGACAGACCGATGTGGCAGGTCGTGCCTCGGGAAGCAGGGTCGGCAGGACAGCCTAATGAGGACTGGGAGATGTCACGCAGAAGGAAGAGAGAGTGGGATGACTGAGGGAGATCTAGCCTAGGAGTTGGGGAAAACAAAGCCAAGTCTGCTCTAACTGGGGGTGTGACCTTGGGTGGGTCACCTCTCCTTTTTGGGCCTTGGCTTCTCATCTGTAAAATGAATGGGGTCAACCAGATTATTTGTATGGCTCCCTCCAGCTAAAACATCCCTTGGTGCAGCTGGATATCAGAAAATAAATGCCAGGTAAGAGGGAAGGTAGCAGCCGGGCTCGGTGGCTCAGCCTGTCATCCCGCGCCTTGGGAGGCCGAGATGAGCAGATTGCCTGAGCCCGCGGGTTCGAGACCCGCCTGGGCAACTGGGCGAGACCTCGTCTCTACAGTAAATCAAAAAATTAGCCGGGTGAGGTAGTGCGTACCTGTAGTTCCAGCTACTTGGAAGGCTGAGGCGGAAGGATGGCCCGAGCCCAGCAGGTGGAGGCTGCGGTGGCCGGGAGCGGCCACTGCACTCCAGTCTGGGCGACAGAGTGAGACTCCAACTCAAAAAAAAAGAGGGAAGGTAGCAAGCATCTTGCTCTGTCTGGAGCCCTGTGGTCTGAGTTGATTCAGTGCAGGCTGGGTCACACTGCCCCTGACCCTGGCCCGTGCACACTGTGACACGAGCGTATACCCTGTGCACACAGAGGCTAGAGGACGCCTAGCCTGGGGCCTATCAGAGAAGAACCAGGCAAGGAGGGGCAGGTGAAGGGAATCCTCTAGAAAAAGCCTAAAGGCCAGAAGGAGAAGCAGGCCCATGCCCTGGCAGTGTGGGTTCACTTCTGCCAACAGCTTGGGGGCGGGGGTACTCGCTGCCCAGAGTCCTAGGCAGAATTTCCAGTCTGGTATCTTCTTCCTCCTCTCTGGAAACAGAGCCGCGTGTACCACAGCCACGCAGAGAAATCTAATGTTCATGATGAGGTATAAATAAGCTAAATCTTCCTCACTAGGCCTCCCCTGGGCTAGGAAATGCCAGCAGGGGGTCTCCTCCACAAACCAGGGGTTGGCATTTGCAATACATGCAAGTGGAACGGAGCAAAACCAAATCGGGGGAGACAGATCAGGGCTTCACAGGCATGACTGGACACCCAGGAGGCAGGCCGCTGTGTGACTGATAAACTGATAAACGGATGTGACAGGGAGGTACGGCTCTCGAGCTGTTTACATTTTGAAGGGATTACATTTTACATGGTTATATAAGTATCTCCATAGTAGCCTCAATTTTGCCTCTTGGCCTACAAAGCCTAGAATATTTACGAACTGGCTCTTTCAGAAACTTTGGCAATCCGTGTCTTGAAATATTGCTGAGCACCCCTATCCCCGCCATTGGTAAAATAGGGGTTTCTTCCACAGTTACCGCCTTGAACTCTAAACTCCACCCTGAAATAGAATGATGGAATGATGGGGACAGGACAGGGATTCTCCTCTAACCCACTATGCCCATCTTCCTCTGCCCAGCCATGCTGCAAGGCCTCCTGAAGTTTTTCTTCTCCATCCCTGTCTTCACGGACCCTCCCACTCCAGTCCTGGTCACTTCATTTTGGCGTCCCCGAAAGGTACTGGATCCCACACTGTCTTGCACTATTTGCTTGCCTTTGGCGCTGCCCGTTTCCCCAATGAGACTGTAAGCAGCATGAGGGCAGGGGCCACATCCTAATACCTTCCTGCATGGCCCCCACTCTACCTGGGAACGTGCTGGGCCCTGGTTCGCTGTTGAGTAGGTCTGAGCAGCTGAGGCCAGTCAAGAGAGAAGAGCACGTGTCTCTCTCCCAGCATCAAACGCCACTGTACACAAACCTGCCATTTCTGGAGGGAACTTAGGGGAAGGTGTCCCCGCACCAAGGGAATCTGCGCCATTGACCACAACCCTGGGAATGCTTCTATCAGTCACTCTAGAATAATGCAAATCCAACTCTATGGAAAATTCCTCCCGGGCGGGAACTCTGTTCCATTTTCCCCTGAGTGGAATGTCCCCAGCAGGGGGAACCAAAGAGCTGGGACTTTCAAAGCAGGTAAAGAGACCTGTAATTGATCAGGGTTCATCAAGCATAAATGGCGGGTCCCAAAAGAACCCGTAATTTATTTATACAAAATGGTGTATTTATTCTTACATGTTTAAATTTCAGTCAAAGCACCTTCGAAGTACTCTCCATTTGATGCGATCCACCTATTGAGAGGCTTTTTCCACCTGCTCAGAACACTTTTTGAACTTGTCAGTGTTGAAGCCTTTTAGTGTTTCTGTTTTTTTGACTGGCCTCTTCCGCACCGGAAAAACGTTTCCCTCCGAGGACTTTTTTCATCTGGGGAAACAAAACAAAGTCACTCTGGGCAAGACCAGGTGAATAGGGAGCGCAGGGCACAGTTTTTGGCCGAGAAATTGTTGAACACTCTGCACGGAGTGGGCAGGTGTGCTCATAAATCACCCATTACGAAATGGGCAGATGCACTGACCAAATCTCCAAAAAAAAAAAAACACACACACAACACTAAAGCTGAACACAGCCTTTCACAATAATGCTAGCTGGTACACTGACGCCAATGGGTTCCTAGAACACTTATCCAGTGGGGGAAGCCTGCATTACAAAGGGACCCACCCTCTAAAAGATAATTCTGTTTTTTGGGGGGGTCCCTCAAAAAAAAAGAGAGAACCAGATGCTTCGCTGTCTTACACAAATGCACAACATCCAAGCACAACCCTGTTTTCTGGGCCTTGGTGGCCAAAGCTGGTAGATTATTAATCCAGGGATGGTTTCCTGCATGGAAGCCAAGAAGCAACATCTGGATAAAAGGCTTGGCGGGGGCCCTTGATTTAATCTCCTCAGGAAGGGAAAGGCTGTGGAAATCAATGATAGCAGAGAAGGGGCGGTGGGAGGGGCCAGGAAGGGGGTCCTTTCCTCAAGTAGCCTGGAAAAGCGCCTTGACCTTCAGGTCCTCTCCCAGCTAATCATGCCAAAAGGCAAACCAGGATGGTTGGCGTGCACGAGTGGAGACTGTTTGCAGAATCACAGCCACAGGTGCATGGATAATACGGAGAGACTGAAGGACTCTGAACTGGGGGTGCTCCTCCCAGTGCCCCAGGACAGACCCAGGATTGAAGGCTGCCACAAGGGACTGGGGTGTCAGACTGCAGGGTTCCCTCATGAACCACCTCAATCCCCTTCATAAACCTGCTCTGCGGTGTCCACCCCCATCCACATGAAAAAATAGGGAGACTCACCCTTTCATTTGCGCCACTCCGTTCCTGAGCATTTTCTATTAGATTGTGCCCGTTTGCCAGGCATTTTAATGTGTGCAGTCCAGTCTAATCAGACCAATATCTTGTCCTGTAGCTGGATTTATCTAGGTCCTCTTTGTTGCCTTAGCCTAAAAGAATTAACCCTCAAGTCAAAGTGGTGACATGTCTTATTTTTAAGGGAGCCCTAGGGGTGTCTTCCCAGTCCCGATCATTAGGTGTGTGGTCCACTACAAACATGAGCTTTAAAGACACAGAGGGCTTGGAGGTGAGACTGTAGAGAGCTGAACTCCCTGCCCTGCTTTGAGCCGGACTGTAAATCATGAATAAATAAAGTGTCTCTGTTCTCCTCCCTTTGTTTTAGCACGGAATAAAAAACAACAGAGCCCTGCCTGCACGATCCTTCTGTTTCCTCCTAAGATTTGCTGCTAGCAGTTCCTGCCTGGAAATGGCTCTGGGCATTCACAGACACTGGTCTTTCAGACGGTGTTGATCATCTGAGTTGCATCCACAATGCCCAGACTCTCACCCACCTGAAGACCCAGACACACCCTTAGAACCAGTCACTGTTGTCCTGGGGGAGGTGTGATCCTAGTCCTCCAGCCCACCCTGGTGAGGATGGAGAACAACCCGCATTTGGATTATTCAGCAGAAAAAGCAACAGCTGGGGTCCAGAGCCCCATGGTCGATAGCTAATCCCAGAGGGAGAGAAATGATTGTCAGTGGGATGCCTTCTGGGATGCCGTGCCACAAGCACCCAGTGACAGGGAACAAGGGGATTTGTTCTGAGTTGAGGGATTACTCAGGGTCCGGCCACGGTCTGCAGAAAGCAGCCTTTAACGTGAACAAGCAAATCCTCTCATCTGGCCTGTCGCTGCTGCTGTCGACCATAAAGGCACTGCCTGCTCTTCTGCCATGCCAGGGGGGACGCGAGCCCAGGCGCCCATGCCTCTGTGACACGCAAGGCAGGGCTGCTGGGGAGGTGCCTTGTAAACAGTTTTCATGGCCCTGAGAATCAGCATCATGGTTTCTCGAGCTGCTGAGAGCGACACCAAAAGATGCTTAAAGCCGGCAGACAAGGAAGACTCCAGCAGGACTGTGGGGGGCGGGTTCATGTTCCTTTTCTTCTGGGCACCCTCCACATTCCACGCTGGCTATAGGAGCTAATACCACCCTCTCACGCAGCACATCTCAGGGGTAACAGTGTCACAGACAGCCTGAGACAAACACAAGTCACCCACCATTGTCTCCGAGGCACAGAGGGAGGCCCACAAAAAGATGTCGCTGAGCAAATCCTGAGCTTTTCAAGTTTTCTGCAAGCCCAGTCAAGGCGTTTACTCTGACTCCAAAACCAAAGGCAGCCAGCAACAGACTATTTTTAAAAACTTCAAATATATATATCAGCTGTAGAAAAACTAACACTTGCCTCAACCGAGTAATCTTTTATTTCCTGGGATAAAAATAAAGAGAATACATTACAGAAGTCTTCCTCCGACATCATAAAAACGCTTTTCAAAGAAAGTTACGAGAATTGTTTAAGGCGCACAGGAAAAGTCAGATTTGCTTTCTTCCAAGACATTCCCTGCCCTAGACACAAAGCACCGATACCACATCCCAGAAAAGAGAGAGGCCTGGAGACACAGGAACCAGAACACTGTACCAGGGTCTCTGGCTCTAACATAAGTACGGCAGAAAAACCTCACTACTCTTTCTTCCATAAATACAACATATGTCTTGAAAATATATCCAAAATATCTCTATCTGAACGACAGTACAAAACCCCACTCACCAGCCATAAAAAATAATTTTTTCCCCTCTACACAAATATAATCATATGCAAAGCGAATCTGGAACGCATGGACAGGGAGAGGGGTCACAAAATCTCTTGGGACCCCGACTATTTAAAGTCATTTTGTTTGGGTGACCCCTCTGCCGGGTAGAGGAAACCGGCTGCAAGCGCATCCATCTCACAGCGCTCACCATCTCAACAGCTCTTGCGTCATGGAATGTGGTACTTTTTAAAAATAGGCGACCCTTGGTGTCACGGAAAGAAGAGGCGAAGTGGGGGGGGGGGGG